AATTTGTTTATATGAATTGAGTAAATATAAAGAATCAAAATTCTTTCTGTTTTGTTATTTCTTCGCGTGCAACCCTTAACGAGACCTTGACGGCCAAAAATAATGACATTTTGCCCAGAACACCCTTAGCGAGACCAAAATCCGAAATCTACACCCCTGAGCGAGACGACGAGCATCCCCGTCCATTCCATATGGGAGTCACCCCCCCTGGTCTCTGGGCAAGAATGGCCGCCGGGTGCACATTTCAAAGGTGCGTGCGGAAGTAATTTTGTGGAAGTTTCCTCGACGTTCATAAAAAGATTCACAAGATCCCACAAAAATGAAGGCGTAACTTAAGAAAGCCGTGTCTGAACTCTCTTGAATCAAATTATCAGACGATTTGAGACTCTACCGGTTTTGTGAGCCCTGTGGCAACATTTTTTGAATTTTCTTCGACTCCGTACCGACATGTCACACCTAAGACACCATAGCTATCAAACACTGTAAACTCCTAAGAAACGACAAGAAGCTAACACAGCTAAGTTTGAAGGAAAATGTCAAGGACGGTTTCCTACATTTAAAACAAAGCAACAGGAATATTCTCTACACAATCTTACAATGTCTTACAACGAAGGACGTGACTAATTCACTGGGAGATGCTAGGAACGAACTCGCGTACGATCTTTGCAGTAAGCGCTAATAAAGGAACGCAGTTTTAACTGATGTCATGAGACTGCATTAGCGCTCAAACGTCGACAAACGATTATCGAGGTCGAAATTTATCCGAATTATATGAATTACATGAAGAAAATCAATTTAAATTCAGTCTCATATTTTTTCCGATTACTATTATTATTCAGTATAGCAGAATGTAAGAGCGGTCGCAATAAAAAGACAAGCATAAGACAGCCAGAGAACCAGCTTTAGTACTTTCGAGCCTCGCATATGTAATAGATGCGACCTGCAGATTACAACTCGTTACAAACAAGACTGAATAAAAGCCAAGCTATGGAAAGTCGAAGTATCTGATCTAACATTGATAATATCATTATAATTATTACTGTTGTTCAGTATCAACAAGATACCTGCGTTATTATCTTACCTGTCGTGAATAAGTAATTTCTCAAGATGGCTCTACGCTCTTTAATCGAAGTTCCAAGAACACCGAGAAATATTCAGAATACAACACTCTTTCCACGAAACTTTCCCTATACCGTCATCCTTTACACTGACATCATTACATCATACAGATAATTTAGCATAATGTGTATTTCCGCTTTTGATCATATGTAAACAAGAGCCTCCTTCCGGCGCGAAAACATGCTCGGATATTTGCCCGCGGACATTATCCGTTTTGAGAAGCGAACAGTTTTCCGAGAGCGTAGCTCGGGAAAACTGTGGGCTTTGGGGACTCTGTTATGTGGCTTTGTTATGGAGACGACATGTTGTTGCTCCTCTCTCCAAGCTTCGGGCTGCCACTTTTAATGTCACGCAACGTATATAGCTGGAAATTTAAACGTGCTCAGTAACAAAATGATCATAGGCGTACGGGCTGC